GCTAGCGGAAAACTTTCGAGCAAAACCATCAAAGATTTGACATTTAGACACAGTGGAACGCCTGTATTCCATAGGCTTCCTAAAGATCACAAACATGCGGTGCCACTTAGACCTGTCATATGTAGGTGCGGCGGTGCTACAGAAAAAAAACTTCGTGTCTTTGACCTTGACCTTCGTGTCTTTCTAAACTTAAAAATCTGTGGTGAAATCTTCCATCTCGAAGCCTAAGTGCCCGGGTGGCAACAGATGTCATTTATGCAATTCTGGGTTTCAAGGGGCTTGCATGCAAAAACGTGGTTTACGAAATCAAGTGTAAGCTGTGGGAAAAACATGGGAGGGACGTACTCTGCGTCGGAGAGTCCATGCACCCTATATATATATATATATATATATATATATATATATATATATATATATATATATATATATATATATATATATATATATATATATATATATATATATATATATTTCAGTTAGTAGCCTAACAGGCATTACCTTCTAGAACATCACGCTAACACATCGTAACCAGGTGGAGGAGAGTTTTCGTCTGGCATGACCATCACTAAAAGGGAGTGTCTCACATTTCAAGATATTGAAGCAAGCATCTGATGTGATAGAGATAAGATCGCTTATAACTATCGGTATGCTTTTAAAATGGAAAAGACTGCTCTATAGAACACAATTTCTCTGTTAGATAACACAGTAGTATTAGCCTTATTCCTCCGAGAAAAACCAGCAGAATGGACGTATAGTTGGGTTAATATTTCGGCAACATGCATTTGCCGAAGCAATAGCAGAAGTGAATTCAAACAGTTGAGATATAATGAACACCTGTGAGACGCTAAAAAACAAAACAGGGAATACCTCTTTCGATGACCATTCTTTAGCAAAACATGCTCAGGCTGAGAGCACAGGACCATCCAGACAGGAAAATAAGTGAATCTATTCTTAGAGAAACAATAACAAAAAATAAAAAATAAATAAGAGAAGCCTGACGCCTGATGTGCGATACCTGTTCAATTGAAATCGTTTGCACGTTTAACTGATTCGCGATGTGTGATGCATGTTTACTTCAACTCGCTTGCATGTTTGAGTGAAGCGCGAAACGTGACGCCTGTGTGCTTGAATTCGTTTGCATGTGCACGTATGTTCGCGCATTCTAATTCTTAAATAAGGACTGGTCGTGGTAATGGCTGACAATCGCTCTTTGTTTAGTCCCCTGAGTGTTGGTGTCCTGTAAAAACTGTGGCTTGCTCTGAAAAAACTGAAGATCGAGTAGGATCATCGGCAGGCAATTTGGAATTCACTTCTGCTATTGTTTCGATACGGGCATGTTGCTGAAATATCAACTCAACTATGTATCAATTCTCTGGGCTTCTCTCCGAGGAACAAGGCTGTCTACTATTGTCTTACCTGCTGCCTTACTACTCCTGTCTTATCGGTGCGAATAATGTTTTTCGCTAATGCACTGAACAACTTACACAATTTCTCTGGTTCGCATTTATGCTCCTGGATGTGATATTGTTTGATTACGTCACCGCACCTCGCACAACATTGATTTAGAGCCAACTGACGACCGTTGTATCTGAAAATCGCACTCACGAACGCCAGATATGAACAACTCAACCATTACATTTTTCTCGGCCTTTGTCGTCGCATGGCTTATGAAATGGCAGCAGTTGAATGACGTTATCATGATGTCATGAATGCCAGGGTGACCTTGAAATAGCCTCCCCGACATGCTTTCCCATTTTGGCGGGAGTGTGCCCCACAAACTACATGGGTTTAGGTCTTAAGAAGGGCAGGACTGTGAGCTGCACAAAAATATCTTCAGGATGGCTATTTCAATTCAAATTCCCATAGCAATGTGGAACACTCCCTTCCCTCCCTCACCCTTCCCAGCCTCCCCCCCCCGTCCCTTTCCGCCCTCACTCCTTTTAACAGGGGGTGAGGGCGGAAAAATTTCAAAAATGCGTCACGTAATCTATGAACGACCCTTAAGACATACATTGAACGTCCTACTCTGCTGGAACTGTGAACAGTAGGTGACCAGCCTGCGTGCTACGAAACCAGAGCTGCCCAGTAGCCAGTGTTAAATGGCCTTTATCGGCCTAAGCGATATCAAACCTGAGTCTCCTCGTATGTCATCAGTACTTTGCACAATGCCACGTGTACCTTCCCAAGCGCATTCTCGCAACTGTCAAGAGTGGCGGCACCACATATTTTGAATTGGGATCAAGAATTTCCAGGGGGCCTTCTGGACAAAATGGGACCTTCACAAGGGGGGGGGGGGGCTCCTGGACGGTATAGTATTCAAGGTAGAGGGGAACTGAGGATCTGATCTCACTCATCAAACTGCTACGTACATCATATCCAAGGAAATCAATGTCGACTAGTAAAAGCTCTGGAATGAGGGACTTCTGATTATCCAGCCAAGGACCTCGTTTTCAAATAGCTGGGCTTCCTGTTCCAGAAAAGGCCTTCTGGTGCATAGAGGGGTCTCATAATCCAGAACGAATTGCTTTTCATTCGTGAAGGGGCCTCCTGATCCCAAAAGAAGGCATCACGATCCGGAGCCAAGCCTATCTGATGTTTGAAAGAGTATCATACATACCGCTGCAGTCGCAGTGGGATTGTCAGTGCCCTTCAGATGACCTGAATCTGACCCTCACCACCGCAGTGGGATTGTCAGTGCCCTTCAAATGACCTGACTCTGACCCTCACCACCGCAGTGGGATTATTAGTGCGCTACAGATGAACTGACTCTGACCCTCACCGCCGCAGTGGGATTATTAGTGCGCTACAGATGAAGTGACTCTGACCCTCACCACCGCAGTGGGATTATTAGTGCGCTACAGATGAACTGACTCTGACCCTCGCCGCCGCAGTGGGATTATCAGCGTCCTCCAGATGACCTGACGCTGACCCTCGCCGCCGCAGTGGGGTTATCAGTGCCCTCCAAATGACCTGACTCTGACCCTCACCGCCGTAGTGGGATTATCAGCGTCCTCCAGATGACCTGACGCTGACCCTCGACGCCGCAGTGGAATTGTCAGTGCCCTCCAGATGACCTGACTCTGACTCTCGACGCCCCAATGGGATTGTCAGGGCGCTTCCACTGCGGTTGTTGATATACGAGCACAATGAGCAATGCTGGGTGCTCCCAAACTTGTTCAACTGCGCTAAAGCGATGAAATGGTTATGACGCATATCGTCATTCGACCCCAGCGAAGGTCAGACAACAATTTAAACGTGATTTCATAAAGGTCATTCAAATAATGCGGTCCAGGCACCCAATATCTTGGGGTAGAGTGCACATCCAGACCGTAATACACAGCGATGATTACCAATCACAACGTGGAGACAAGGCCAGGTCTCAATACTTCGCTCGTTGTCAATACCAGTCAATACCTTCACATATGTAATGCCTCAATATGTGTGAAGAGCATTAACAATCGCAGACGCGCGGCGTTTACTGTACACAAATGTGTCACCCAAATACCGTGTCATATCAGAAGCTGGCCATCGCTAGCAATCGCTGGTACTAACTACAAGCTAGATCACTGGGATCAGATTGGAGGCTGGCAGAACGACGGGAACGCAAGCAGTGAAGCCGATAACACATTTCCGGTTCGTTTATGCATTAAGCATGGGCAGCTTATATTTTGTCATCCAGATGATGCTCTATACAAAGTGACAGCACGAGTTGGCAGCACACACAGAGGGTTAATTTAGAGATGACACTTTAGGGTTAACACTCACCTGAGTTAATCCAAACACTAAAGGGTTAACTTTAGAGATGACACTTCAGATTAACCCTCACATAGCCGGACTTCCGCGAGGACAAAAAAAACTGATCTTCAAACCCGTTGCGATAAATACGACATTCGGGACACATGTCAGAATGTTGAGGGCCTAAAATGATTACAGTTGTGTACTGAGCATGATATTCAGGACACCAATGGCCACTAACGCTTGGCTTACTCGCAATCTGGAACCTCCTAGTCAGACGCGGCACATCCGTTGCCGTTTGTTTAGAGCACAGGTTGCAACGGGATAGCTCGCGGCGTCCCTCGGTGGCATCTGCGATGAAACGGCGCACCGGAGACGCGACACCCCGGCCGGCCGGATGGCGCGGCGCGCGGGGGGCACAGGCGTCATCCCATCCTGTTAACTGGAGGCAGCACGTGACCCCCTCCCCCGCCCCGTCGGCCCCGCTCCGGGCGCGATCGCATGGACGGGGATGTGCGGGAAAGAACCGCCGTGTTGCAGCCGCTACCCTAGTCCGTTGAGCGTCGATAAAGTGACGGGCGAGCTGGCCCCCACTCCAGACGGCCGGGGGGAGCTGCGCCGACGCCATCTCACTGTCGCACCCAGCACGAGTCCAGGTAGGAGCCGAGCCCGTAGGTCGGGCAGCGTCAGTGCCGTCAGTGGGCTCCAGATGAGCTGGGTGACCTGTGAGTCAGTGGGCTCCAGATGAGCTGGTTGACCGGTGAGCCAGTGGGCTCCAGGTGAGCTGGGTGACCTGTGAGTCAGTGGGCTCCAGAGAGCTGGTTGACCGGTGAGTCAGTGGGCTACGGATGAGCTGGGTGACCTGTGAATCCAGGTCGGGAACGGCTGATGCTCGTGAGCGCTTGGTAGAAGGCAAGTGACGCTAGTGAGCTCCAGATGGTAATGGCGACGTTTGCGAGCTCCAGCTACAAGCAGGCGATGGAGAGAGCCACAGTGGAGAGACGGGCTTGGGCTCCATGCAACAGGCAGGAGATGTTTAAAGTTTCAACTGAGAAACTGGTAACGCTCAGGAGAGTTCCCAAGGGCTCTTTAAAGCTCTTACCAAAGGTCTTTAAGTGAGAGATGGTTGAGGTCTCAGGCGACTGACCAACCCCGATATCGAAAGCAAACTTGCATGTTAGTGTCGTTCACCACACTAAGAGGCGCATTCACTGTGCCTGATCGTCACGCAGCTACTCTCGCCATGTCCCTCCGCCAGAGTCCGTGACGATGCTGTGCTTGTCCGAGTGGCTGCTGCTCGCCATCGTCCTTCACGTAGCATCGGTGGAGGCCGACCGCTGCCCCAACGGAGATATGTGTGAAGGTGACACAACGTGCTGTGCCACCGACTCCCACCAGCTGCCGTTCCGCTGCTGCCCGTACGTGGATGCGGTTTGCTGCTCCGACCGGCAGCACTGCTGTCGCAAGGGTGAGAGCAGACCGCGTCTCGCCGCCGCCTCGCCAGGGGCATAGTGCTGCAGTGCTGCTGTCGCACGGGTGAGGGCAGACCGCGCCGCGCCGTTGCCTCGCCAGGGGCGCAGTGCTGCTGTCGCACGGGTAAGAACAGACCGCGCCGCGCCGGTGCCTCGCCAGGGTCGCAGTGCTGCTGTCGCACGGGTGAGGGCAGACCGCGCCGCGCCGTTGTCTTGCCAGGGGCGCAGTGCTGCTGTCGCACGGGTGAGGGCAGACCGCGCCGCGCCGTTGTCTCGCCAGGGGCGCAGTGCTGCTGTCGCACGGGTGAGAGCGGGCCGCGCTGCGCCGCTGCCTCGCCAGGGGCGCAGTGCTGCTGTCGCACGGGTGAGAACAGACCGCGCCGCGCCGTTGTCTCGCCAAGGGCGCAGTGCTGCTGTCGCACGGGTGAGAGCGGGCCGCGCTGCGCCGCTGCCTCGCCAGGGGCGCAGTGCTGCTGTCGCACGGGCGAGGGCAGACCGCGCCGCGCCGTTGTCTCGCCAGGGGCGCACGGATAGGCATGTTACCGCCGGAGAAGGTACAGGATCCGGCGAATGTGGAGGCGACGGTGCAGCCTTTTCAAAAATATGTAACTGCGTGCAGTGTGACATCAAAGAATAAGTCTTACCGGGCGAACAAAGCCGTAGTTCTTAGGCCATGGGAATAGCAAATGACGGCGCCACAAAACTGAAATGTCGTCATAGCTGATTATGCCACGTTATGCACGCTTTGCTAAAAAGTGAGATTGGAACCTGACTGACATTACATATGATTGCACATCTGAGAGCTTGCAGAACCTTTATGACAAGCATGACATTTTGCGGATGAATGCAAATGAAAGGTGATTTTGAGCTTGCCATCTGTATAAAATGTTGGCCGTCAAGCGCACAGGCCACTCTGGTCAGGCGATTCATTATTTGTAAGGTCAGGCGAAATCAATAACTTGCGATGATCTGTGCCGACGTCAGATCGTTCTTAAACCAACACTTGCACCGAATCGGATTCAGAACGTGGCTTTATGTCTGTCTGTCTTTGAGAATCGAAAACTGCTGGACGGTCTGCATTCGGTCTGAAATGTTCTGAAAACATTCCGCATTTTGAAAAATCATCTTTCTATCTATCACTGTAGCACATTGTGGTAGCTGGAAGGGTCGAACCGGACATTGTTGGCTTCCGTCCACATTTGGTTAAGGATTGTGCTACACTCGGCAGGTCTCGTCCAATTAGGAACAAGATAGCGGGGGAGCCCACCTCTCCCCGGACCGGCGAGTGAAAACAGCTTCAGCTTCAGTCGGGCGGTTATTAGGGTTTAAATGAAATAACGTGTTGGAAATATACCTTTTCAATGAAGTTTTACTGCACACGCATGTGTCACACGACGTTGCGTCACGTCACATACGACTAATCGCACTCACCGCCTTACCTTATTTGCTCAAGGCTGCTGGGGTTTTTAAGGGAAAGCATGGCAGGATACACGGGCCTATATCTCCAAAATGAATACAACCGAGAATATTGAGGGGGTACTTTTAGGTCATGTTGCTCGCCTAGCAAGCATGGCTTGCTGCGAAGTTCCTGACTCACCACCCCAGCAAATAAGCCGACTTCGACAACCAATTTTTACAAAGCACGTTTTGACGTACCACGCAATGTGACAGCCAGGCCGTCCTTGCTTCCGCCGGGTCTCTCGGCAGGTAGCCAATCAAACGTAGGAACCAGTGGCATAGCGCCCTTTGGGACGGGACCCCGCATGTCCCGTGATTGTTAACCAGTGCCATTGTGATGATCCTTTTGTACAACGTTTGACTGTGACCAAAATCTTGTCTCGCCGCTGTCCGCACCGCGTGTCCGCCGCGTGACCCACCTGTCGCCTCCGGCCAGGCTACTCCTGCGACCCGTCCGGTGACCGCTGTGTCCGCGTGTCCGCGGACCCGGTCCTGTGTCCGGACGGCGAGTCCCGCTGCCCAGCCGGCGCCACCTGCTGCCTGATGTCCGACCAGCGCTGGGGCTGCTGCCCTCTCAGAGACGCCGTGTGCTGCTCGGACCGCGTTCACTGCTGCCCTCGGGGCACGCAGTGCGACCTGCAGACTCTTACCTGCCTCCGGGTGAGGCCGGTGAGCTCCGCCTGGCCCGGCGCGAGTTCGGGGTCTGTGAGAGGATCGACGCCGTGAGAACCAGCAGGCACGGGGCCATCATCTGGTCGTTGTTAGCCTGGCGCTCTCACAGCGACTTACGGCATTTGGAGCCAGACTGCCGGAGCTCACAGCACTGATATTGAGTGCTGGCATGGCATGCGAGCAGCGACGCCCTCAGAAAAAAGTGCTAGCAATTGCTACCAAGTCTGCCTACACCAAAAGTTAAGGCTCCATGGCCCTCATTCGATCTCAGTTTTTGTTGTTGTTGCTTTGTTTAGGGGAGTGTGAAATCTTCTTGTTTGCCCATTTTGAATTATCTTAAGTTAACGAAGTCGTTTAAGAGTTCTTATTGTGCGTTTTAAACCAATATTCATGCCATTGTGATGCCCAGTAGTTAAACTTATCATTAATAAAAACTACTTTGGATAAAATTGCCAAAAAGAAAAAGTGCCTTGTTTGTCTATCCATCCGAAAACCTGGCTCTGTATAGCAGAGCTCTCAGTTACACACTGTTTCCGCCGCAGACAGAGAAGCGTCACTGGCTGCTTGAGATGCTGGCCGAACGGAGGCTGGGACCCGTGCGGATGACGTAAATACTCTGGACCGTCGTGCCGTGGAAGACAACCGCCTGGCCTCAACTCTTCACGTCAATCAAGATGTCGCGTCGTCCGGAGAGGTGACCCTGAAGACGCGGCAACGCCATTTTGCTTTCCGATGATGGTTTGTTCGGCGGCGAATGTGAAACTTCATTCATATGAAATCATGTATCCTATACTTCCAACTACACCGCATGGTCTGGGCATTGATCACCAACTGCATTCTGCTACGCGACTTTCTTCTACGTGATACCATGTTCTTTCAGCTTGTGAAAGCACGTAATGACGTCAGTGTTGCGCCAGAAATACCCTTGCGCGATTGCGTATCACGTGCCTGCAATAAATGAAACATAAAAGCGTTTGACATGCTGACGTTTGTGCTGTTGGGGCAAGCGAAAATCTTCAGAAAGAGACAGCCAACATCAAGTAAACACATCTGTTTGTCGGGTCACCGGGACGTTGATTTGACGGAGAGCTACGGTGAACACGACGACCCTTCGAAACGCCCGGGGATGCTGACAACACGACGGTATCAAGCAATCATCATGGCATGTCATCAGCCGACTTGTGTTCGGCTCGGGCTGAATTGGCCGTCTCGTGCGGTGGCTCACGAGCCCATTGTTTTGGGCTGAACCACGAGCTGGGTCGGCTCGTTAGGAAAAATGCCCCTTTGAGCCGTAAGCTGAATCACATTCTCTGTGAATTTAGTGAGCTGAATCGGGAGCAAATCATTTGTTAAAATATCGTGTCAGTGAGCCATATAGTCAACTTAAAATGGTAACATGACGAAACACAGCAAGCCACAGACAAATCAACATACCATTTCGGAGTGTTGAAATGAGCAGCATGCAGCATGAGCTATGAACCTTTTCGCAGTCGGCACAAAGTTTGTTATTGCAAGTTCCAAGCAGGGAACAAAACCTTGATCCTGATCTTGAAAAATTTGCTAAATCTCAGCCGAGATGACACTTGGCAGGTGCAGACTGTCGATTGTCAGGTTTAAGGCAGACTAGTCTACACTGCGCGCTATAAGGTCTGGGTCGTAAGTGCCAGCTAGAATGTGCTAGCCTAGAGCTGAGACTGGCCTATATTGCACGGTTATTCGCGTGCGTGCGTTTCCAACACAACATCGTGCGCTGGTAACAGGTTACAGGAGAGGTACTGTTTGCTGCACTGCATTTGCTAGGTTCAAACTACAAACTTGCTACCAAGCTATTTGCACGTATTTTCCTTACTTCGATATATATATATATATATATATATATATATATATATATATATATATATATATATATATATATATATATGCATGCGTGCGTGTGCGCGCGCGCGTGTATGTGTTTGTGTTTAAGTCATAGCGCTCACGAGTCAAAAGGCAACGAACCAGAGCGAAATCGGAGCTTGGGAGCAACTATGTTTGGAACAACTATGAGTCATGAGTTGAAGTAGACCCCAATAATCTGTGACCCGGTCCTGTGCCGGCTAAAACAGCTTGAGTCGAACAGTAGTCTGAATGAGAACATTGAACCAAGTCAAACGAAAACAAAAATTTGAAACCTTAAGTGCGTAAGGGCAGAAAATGTTCTGAGGAGGTGCAGGCTGTGCTAAACGCACTAAGGTTTTTAGCCTGTATTTGCTGCTCGATCGTAATCTCTGATGACCTCTGCCCTCTGTACCCTGCATGGTCTGACGTGTTATCCAGACATTATATTGACGACGTTACACTGTCCTTAATCACTGATGACCTCTGCCCCCTGTACCCCACATGGTCTGACGCATTATCTAGACATTATATTGACGGCGTTACATTGTCCTTAATCACGAATGACCCCTGCCCTCTGTAACCTGCATGGTTTGACGTGTTACATGGACATTTTACATCGTCATTATCTGCGCACTCCCAGCCTACCTTAGCCCATGGTGCGCTCCGTTCGCATTTTTTAAAGCATCATCCAATTTCCTGGGAAGGTATTTCAGTGACAAACTAAGGAGCGCGTGGCTATCTCAATTATGTAACACGTGTGTGTGTGGGGATGGGGGGGGGGGGGGGAGGACAGGCTTTGATTGAGCGTAGGTGATGTAAAAAGAGGAGGCGATTTCGCACAGGGTAACGTTAGGATCAGGTGCAGCTGCGATCCATGCTAAAATCCGATAATTTTAACGGGTAACTAGGGGGGGGGGTCTTGCCAGGCGTAGGCGGCGCATAATCAGCGGGAGAGGCACAGAAATTAGCGTAAATGAGCAGCGTTTTTTTTGGCTATGATCTGGTGCCAAGACAAAAGGCGAAATAGGGAAAAGCCGAATGGCAAAAGTCAAACGAAAAAGCCAAATAATGACAAGATGGCAGGAATAAAATGAAAGTCAGATCGGGAAAAAAACGGATGGGAAACACGTCAAAAGAGATGAAACTCGACAGGATTAAAAGCAAAGACAGGAAAAAGTCGAAGCCGATGGACAAAAGTCAAAAGAGATAAGAGTCAGTAGGAATAGACGTCGCATTGGAAAAACTCGTGGACAAATCATTGACAGGGATGAAAGTCAAAGAGTAAAAAGTCAAAAGCCGGAAAGCCAGGAGGGGCATGTTCTGTTATAATATTCTGCATGCATGCAAAGACAACAAAACCCAGATTGAATAGATGCGTGTCACATGACACAGAAAACAGGTAATCGCTGATGTGTCTTAAGCCACACGTGCGCAGCAGCTGATTAGCCGTCGCATTTCTCTCCTACGAGTAGACATGTGCCTAGCTCCTGACGTATTTTTCTCGGCCAACTTTCATCCATTTGACTCTAAGGCATGTAAACATTTTTACCTTTGAATTGTCTTCAATCAGGGTTATCTACCTGCCGAATTTTATTCCTGTTGACTTTTCGACTTTTTCCGACTCGATACTTGTGTCTGGCAACTTTTTGCGATATTTGCCGGATTCGGCTGCTATCCCATTTGACTCGACGTTTCTCGATAAGACTTATATCCCCGTCGATTCAATCAGCTATTTTTTGGCAACCGTATGGTCTCTGAGCCATTGAGATGCCTTTGAAAGAAGTGAGTAGACTATTTCTGATGTCGCACATGAATTAAAGGGGAGATGGGACCCAGATGTACCTCCACCCCTTTCTCCCGGTGGATGACGAGCTACGATGTTTGATATGACGCCAAAATGTTCCACTCTATTCCCTCTGTCACATTTAGCAACAGCCTGCTGGCAGAAATAGGACCAGTCTCAATGCACTTCTTTTCCACAAAATTTGCTATTGTATCCATCATAGAGCACAAAACGCAAGGGACATAACAAAATCAGTTCGTGTATTTGCGTCAGCTACAACACGACACACGCTGGGAGAGGTCCACTACAGGTCAAGTACCCATGCGCGCGTCAAAGCCCCCCAACATGGCGGGCAGGCCGCATCGGCAGGTTGCCGTCAACAGTCACACATAGTATGGCAAAGGGCTGGAAGGTTCAGTAAAGCACAGACAGCTACCCGGAGGCGCAGGCCACGTCTCATCCTCAGTTCTATCGTATCACAGCTCGCCTCCCAGCGGCCAGTCTCCCGGGCGGGCCGCCTACCGCTGGCCAGTCTCCCGGGCGGGCCGAGTCGCTCACAGCCCGGCAATAGCTGCACCTCGCACGTAAAATGGTTACAGTCTGTCGAGAGGACGGACCCGGCGCTCGCGGCATCACTCGCGCTCATAACGTTGCTCTGCTCCTGCGCCATCTGTCGGTGAGATAAGTCACCAGAGCCGTCACATTCTCCGCCAGTTTGACAGTCGTACAGCTGCCTCATCACCGCAAAAGACCGAGTCTATGGGCGCGTTCGGCCGAGGGAAAATTATTCAACGAATAATTATCCCTTCAAAAATCATCTACGGAGATTCTTACTTTACGCTCGGCAGGTCCAGAAATTATTTCCCACATCCGTCTCCCATGCGCCAGCACAGTCAACGACTACAACTATGTATAGCGAAAAAAGATTCCCCGTCTTGACTATTCTCTGAAAATGCTCCGGGATTTTCCACGGGCGCGGAAAATTATTAGGGATAGTTTTCCGTATTGGCAGTGCCGAACGCCATTCCGGAAAATTCCAACATCCCGGATAAATTTCCGGCATTGTCTGCCGGTCGAACGCGCCCTATAGGTCTTCCTGAAGTCCGAGAGCCAAGTATTGCTGGTGAAGCCGCTGGCGGCAAAACTCGTAAAACTCGATCTCGTGTGTGAAATTCTTCCGCACGATGTCCTTGACGTACTCCGAAACAGGTGGCTTGTAGCCGTTTTTGTTGACTTTTGATAGCTTCTTCTCCTCTGAAAACAAAGGAATACGTCTGACACGTGATGGGACAGGTCGAAACAGACAGTGCAGCGGGTTTAGCGCCATGTTCGTGATGTAACCACTCTGCGTGTGTTGTTAAAGACGCACGGCGACTAACTGAATTGACTGACTAACTTGACTGAAACTATTGCCAGTTTCGGCATAATATCGGGTCCTAAATCAGATTGGGGAAGCGTTCCTTTCCACCTCTTTCGCCTGCACAATATACCTTCTAATGGATGATGATGATGTTTGAGTTTAGGTGCACTCCGACTGCCTTGGCCATTTTGCGCCCATTAACTTCCACTGGGTTAGTGGAGAATCTACGCGATTGACCTCAGCTGAGATGAGGTTAATCCAAACACCCTCGACGGAAAACGGAAAACGGAGCGAAAAAAACCTCTTGGTATATTGAACATCGTTAAGCCAACATAAGAGCCTTTAACTCAAAGTGCCAAAAAAAAGAAGCCGAAGGTCTTGCTTTCTTATATCAACTTTTTGGTCAACATGACTTGAAAGAAATTTATGAAACATTCCTGTCTATGCATACTTAACAGACGGTGCACCGAACTGACCATGGTAAATCTCGGCAGCACCAGCGAAGAAACGCGGGATGTAGTGCTCCAGCACTGCCAGCGTCTTGTTCATCTCCTCCAGCACCCCCACGACGGCGTAATACTTCTCTACGTTCCGCTTGGCCTTTTGCATGGCCACCTCAGAGTTGAAGGCGCTGAGAAACGGAAAACCATAGAATTCCTGAAAATGTGTTCGAAGAGACAACATAGAAATGAACATGGTGCATAGGCTGGTGTCCCGAGTTTTCCGCTCATTCATCGCTGAGCCACCAAGGAAAACATGTGAAGCAAACGTTGGCGAGACCAACCGTAGAACAAACGCAGATGCAGCGTGCTGTTGATGACACAAAATAACTGAGGAAACGCAGCGGGCCGGTGCGTCTAGTGATCGGTGGTAGCACAGAGGCGGTGACATGCTGTGAGGGGAACAGGGCCGAGCCCCGGACCAGCCAGACGTGCCAGCCCGGCTGCTGACATTTCGGCCATTCGCCAGGGAAGTGCACCGATGCAGTGGTGTGACGCATGGTGCGGTGCTCGCCGGTCAGGGGTGCCTGCGGTGCGCACGACGCGCTCCGAAACGGCGCAACATCCGGATCATTCTACCAAGGGATCCCGCGACGTGTGCGCAGCCAGAGAAGGGCCCAGGGGCAGCCGCCCACCCGTTGCGCCCGACTTTTACATAAGCATCATAGTCGGCTACTTCAGCTCTCTCATGGTAAGTGCTGATCTGCCTCCCATCCCCTTACGAAAATCTTGGCCGACGCCTGTTCAGCGGTATCGAGCGCAGAGATGGTGAGGCGCACACGTCAATAAGCCCAGAAGAGTGCAAACTACATGACTCATCTCCATGGATGACTTAGAACGCTCACCATAACTTTGGTATTGAAAGTTAAGCAAACTTCATGAGGTCTAGGTCTCCCCGACCATTTGGCCATTCTAAAAGTTAAACAGACATGAGGTCTCTCCGAACAATTGACCATTCCCTGCAAAAAAAAACAAAACATATGAGCTGCGAGTTTTGAGTGTCAATGACCATGAAATACCTATCCATTGCTCAAAATTCAAACGGAGAGCTTCCGAAACTACCCACGTCTTCGTTTTCTGCACTTTTCGTCTGGAGGCGTGCTTCGCCACCCGCAGCGTGTTTCCACTCGCTCCCGCCAGATGTCAGCCACGTCGCCAGCCAGTACACTCACGAGCAATCCTCGTCCATGCCGCAGAAGAAGCCCGTCATGCGGCGATGGTCTCCCACCCTGTCCTTCTTGTCACCGGTAATGTACTGACACTCCCAGTCGTTGGAGAGCACGCACTCCTCGTAGTCCTGCCAGGGGATGGCAACAGCGCGACGTCACAACAAAGACCCCGAAGGCGACGACAGCGAAGCTCTGCGGAGCCGCGCGAGGCTCACTTTGGAGACTCGGTCGTTGTCGGTGGGACCGTTTGGGACCGGGATAACTGAATTCGTGACGGGACCGGTTTTTCACAACTCAACTGGGCACCCCATCCATGGGACATGATTCGCGATGGTGGGAAATTCGTGTGTGCGTGATTGAACAGTGTGGCAAAGAAAAAGACGAGATGAAAATGAGTGGCAAGACAGAAAAAGGCAGCATGCCATAGCATAAACAGTGGATTGTAGACAACCGCAGCCACCAAACCGGCCTGCTAATTCCGTCCTTTAGGCAAAGGAGATGCCCGGACGAAGCAGCCTTTACCGCGCATGCGCAATGGAAGACACCATGCAGACGGGTGACTCCGATGCGGACGATGCCAGCTGAAGCGAAGCGTCTCCGTGGCTGCCGCTTACCAGCCACTTACGTGCACGCGCCCTCCATACCGCAGAAGAACTCTGTCAGCTGGCCATAGTCCTCGCGCACGCTGTCCTGCTCGTAGGTGCATTCTGCGTGACCCAACTCTACGCAGGTCTCGAAGTCCTGCGCATGCGCGAAGCGAGTTCCCAAGCAACGTTAATACCGATGATTAGAGAGCAGCTGAGCATGTTAGGACAGAAGCGGAAGAGCTTTATCTAGTGATTCAGCCGCTTTCGTCGCAGCGTCTGATTCTCGCGGTCATATGTACGCCAAATTTTGACAGAGGAAACAAGACAAGGGTCTACCTGCTGAGAAGTTGGGTGCTACAAAGTGTAGGTATGTGTCGTTACGAGGTATTTTGGTGCGAATCTATCCTCGTCATTCTTTACCCGGTGACTTATATGCTATCGTCGAGCACAAAACGAACAGAGGCTTTCTGTTAGCTCCTCTTTGCATATCGTGCTGCTGGGTGAACAGGAGACAGCTTGGCTAAGAGCACACCTGCTTCCTCTTTGAGGCAGTTTGAAGATAATACTCGTTAGCTCTTTGAGAACAAGAACGTTTGAACGCTTATTAACCCGCCCTTTCTCTCAAAAGCGTCGGCGCACGCATTCTCAAGTCAATGACCCAACCACAGAAGCCTGCAGAAATTTAACGATGCTCACTCCATACATCCTGACCGGTCGAAATGAAAGGCCTGGGTCGGGCTGGTCCCGTGTTTTGTGGCCACGATGGGAGCGCTTCTTTTTGTCGGCTCCACCTTGCTGTCCAGGAACCAGTTTGCCAAATAACTCAGCACTTTTTCCGACCAGATTTTGAGAGGTGATGGGCTGCTTTCGTGCACGACCGTGCCATTACACAACAGCTGCACCGCATCTGCATACTGAGTCGGACGACTGCGAAGGAGAAAGCTGCAAAAGTAGTGCCAGCTATTCCTGATAGAGCCTGTCGACGACGCCTGTATCCCAATAGTCCCAGAAACCACCCAGCAACAGAAAGCCCGGACGATGGCGGGAACATTTGGGGACAGAGAAACAACCAATATTAATAGTTGTTAAATGGTTGCGGGATAACTTTTAAAAGGTTGCCACGCACGCAATGGAAGCGATCACTGCAAGTAAATTGAGAGCGATGCATGTATAAGTGAGCTAAAGACATCACAGGGGGAGCTGTAACAGGTGGCACAGGTACATACATAGACGAGTGGGTATAGTTTTACTAGAATAATTGGAATACCCGAAAAAGCGGCATGAACTGGATTTGCCACCTGCACTTTAAGAGTCACGTACATTGACAGCGGACGTGGAGTGGGTACAGACAAAACGGGGTGTACAGCCTCTTCCCCACCCAACCGTTATGCTGCATCATGCAGATGATGCCAGTTGGAGACATACAATGTATCTCTGGAGCATTATGCTCCACTAACTGGTCTAACGAAATATTTGAAATGAGGCGTTAACATGCATGAAATAATTATGCGGTTATTTGCCTAGTAAGCGTCATTCGTGTGCGCATACCAGTCACTTCAGGGGACATTTTAAGAGCTAGGTGGTCCTGAAAAGAATGTGTTGATATTTGATACGTGCCTATGTGCGTATCTCAGCCTGGCTTGGCGACTTCGGTATTCTAGCCGGCACCCTCACGACCAACCAGCACGCGCTCCACCCATTCAGCTACTGACGGACCGTCAGCGGAGGCTGGGTCAACCAACACACGCACCACCCACTCAGCTATTGACGGACCGTCACCGGAGGTCAACCAACACACGCTCCACCCACTCAGCTATTGACGGACCGTCAGCGGAGGTGGGTGATTGGCAGGGGCGAATCCAGGGTTGCGTCAGAGAAGGGGCTTCTGTTCTGTTTGAAACAGTGCTGAAGACCTCCGTTTGGTATCGGGACTTGCGACTCACACAGGGCCTTTTCACTGCTTTAGTGTGCATACAAGCTCCTGTATCGTCATTACCCATCTCCCCTTTCCCTCCGGATCGACTCCTGTCTTGCGGTGCCCCTGAAAGTGTGTACCTCTGGAAAACAAGTTATTATGCTCGGAAACGAAAGTTTTGGTGCCCCTAAAAAGAACGGACCGATCCAGAATTTCGTCAGGTTAAAAGCCGCGGAAATTGTGATGGCTCTGAATTTTGGCCTCTTTTAAATTCTTAAATGGTCCGCCTAGGCCACATCGTACCTCGAAAATACAGATTATGGTGCCTAGAAATACAGCTATGCGTGCCCCTGGCCCCAGGAGCCAATCCAGGACTGTGACGGCGGGAGGCTCAGCATTGTTGCACCCCTGGAATTTGGTGTTCCTTGAGAACAAAAGGCTATATGGACCCTAAATGAGGATTTTGGTGCCCCTTCGCCGCCATTATATTTTGGTACCCCTTCAACCTAACTGGCACGGCCCCCTCCCTCTGGATCCACCTCTGATGGTTGGAGCTTCAGGCCCTCTCCAGACTGAAGCACGTGGGTAGCTGAGTGCCACACGTACACCCGCACTCTTCAGGACCATCGAACAGCCGCTGCAAAAATAACTGGCTGAAACGCAGCGTTGACATCAATGCCACAGATCCGCGTAAATAAGTTATCTAATCAGCTAATTGTGTTGCGTAACAAACTGCATTTGCCTGGACTTGCCCACAGAAACAGAAGGGAACGGTCAGGGACGTACAGTGTCACAATTTGTTATCGAGCAGCACATCTAGACATGGTTTACGGCATGTATGCATACCAGTAGAATGGTTACCATACATACTAGCTACTAGCTAGGGAGCATTAACGTCAGAGAGCGCAGAGGGTTCTGCCTTCGGCGATGAGAACTTGATCGCGCCTGACCTTCTTGAGCCAAGCGGGGTCAGGCAGCTCCAGTTCGGGGAAGGCCCTCTTGCGCTCCACGAAGTACCAGGGCGCTCGGACGTAGTAGTACCACGAGATGATGCGCTCCACTGGGTCCCGCACCATGTTGAAGTAGATTGGTGGAGAGAAGTTATACCTGGTGGAAGCGAGGTCGGTTACGTGGCGACGCATAGGCATATATCTTCAGCAACACCCCAAACATAATAAGGACGCGGGGAGACAGGGCAAAATGTCCCGCGTCACACGTCACTGCAACCAGAAGAAGAGATTATATTGTACGTGCTCTAAGATCGGGCACAGATAACAATTGTGTCTCGGTCCATTGTTGAGGAGCCTGACGACAGAAACGCTCCCTGGGTCTGGTCGGCCGGCGGCTTTGGTTGCAGAGGGTGCTTGTTCTACCATACTGCGAACGCTGCGCAACTCTGGCACCCTCCGCATCTCAGCATGACATAGCGCTACGACGAAGCCGCAATCACAAGCTGGAAAACGGACGGTGTTTAAACGAAGATTTAGAGACGGGGGTAGCACCGGCCACAGAACAACACCGTGCGCCCGGTGCTACCGCAGGACAATACCAGGCACACTTAGCGCCGATCTCGGCCAGCCGTGAAAGCCGCCCAGCCCGGGACGGCCGCCGCAATGCCGCGCCCAGCAGCGAGAGAGCACAGCCGATGAATCAGTCCGCACATTCAGTGTGGGATTTTCCTCGGTCGCCGTCGCCAGGCCGGGGCCTCAGTCGCGCGCCAGAGACTGCGGCACCCCGCCGCCGCGCCGCTCTCTCCGTTGCGGCGGAATCTGCCGCGAGCGCCGGCCTCCCGCCCGACCGAACACCGTCTGCCGAGGCGCGCCGGCTGCCGCCCCCGCACTCGGCGCGGCGGAGGCGCGCTCGGCCCGCGCCAGGTGTCCCTCGCGGCGCGACGGGAACGTGGCGAATGGGCGTCAAGGGACGCGTCCGGGTGGGCCCAGCGCCAGCCGCCCGAGATCAGATCCGAGCGGTATGCGACGTCGAATGTTGGCTCTGAACAAGGCACGCTGTCATCGCTGTCCACCATCTGGCACCGCCACTCAGAGATGCTCTTTTGGTGTTGTTTGTCCGCAGACTGGGCGCGGTTGAATAGGTTTTCCTGTTGCTTTTTTCCTGCTCCTGCTGCTTGACTCGATTTCTTAGCAACGTGGAGAATGATTTAAGACGCACGGCTGACTGACATTGGGTGCCTTATGATATACCATTTGTAAAAAGAGCACCCCATAGTTAACTTTCCAGGATCCAGCCCAATCAAAGTCATTTATCTTTCATTCAATCCGCTAGCGTATGTGTACTTTTTCTGGTTAGAAATGGCATGTGCTTCGATGCATTGACAACAAAAATGTTTTCGCGAAAAATTTGCTCAGATCCATCATGCGCCAGCGCAGATTAGCATCAAATGGGACATTTATGATCAAATTGACCATCTCGCAACTTGGCGTTCAGCTTTTGCAATCAGGCCAGCCTTTCCCTAGGTAACTTCCAAGCCCACGTCGGTCTAATTCCCCAGATTAATGCGGAATGTCCACAGGCCCAACCGTAAAGAGCTCTGCCATCCAAGATGCCATGATAGCAAAAATTATCTGTGTAGGCATCGCGTACTTAGTTCTGCTGGAATATGCCAATGTGATATCGCCGACTGCCGCATCGAATATATTTTGCTATTTGGATTAGAGCCCTTTCCATTCGTTGTGACCATTTCAGGGCTTTGGGGTGAAGGAGAGTAGATAACGGTGGGTCAGAGCTACATGCACCTGAGGCCCATCCACCGAGGCTATGCCCGCGCAGGGACGCTTTGCGTGGTGTGTGCTCGGAGCTCGGACGGAACCTTACCAGGGGCCCCTTCGGCCCGCTCGTGGCTGGCGCATGTAGTCTGCTCCAGACGAGATGGGCGTTCCGGGGACCTGTCAGCGGTAGCGCGGTGGCAGGGAGCACGGCGAGGCAGAGCAGTGACAGGGAGCACGTCCAGGCAGCGCGGTGGCAGGGAGCACGGCGAGGCAGAGCAGTGGCAGGGAGCACGGCGAGGCAGCGCGGTGGCAGGGAGCACGGCGAGGCAGAGCAGTGGCAGGGAGCACGTCCAGGCAGCGCGGTGGCAGGGAGCACGACGAGGCAGAGCAGTGACAGGGAGCACGGCGAGGCAGAGCAGTGTCAGGGAGCACGGCGAGGCAGCGCGGTGGCAGGGAGCACGTCCAGGCAGCGCGGTGGCAGGGAGCACGACGAGGCAGAGCAGTGGCAGGGAGCACGTCCAGGCAGCGCGGTGGCAGGGAGCACGGCGAGGCAGAGCGGTGGCAGGGAGCACGGCGAGGCAGCGCGGTGGCAGGGAGCACGGCGAGGCAGAGCAGTGGCAGGGAGCACGGCGAGGCAGCGTGGTGGCACGGAGCACGGCGAGGCAGAGCAGTGGCAGGGAGCACGTCCAGGCAGCGCGGTGGCAGGGAGCGCGGCGAGGCAGAGCAGTGACAGGGAGCACGTCCAGGCAGCGCGGTGGCAGGGAGCACGGCGAGGCAGAGCAGTGACAGGGAGCACGTCCAGGCAGCGCGGTGGCAGGGAGCGCGACGAGGCAGAGCAGTGACAGGGAGCACGTCCAGGCAGCGCGGTGGCAGGGAGCACGGCGAGGCAGAGCAGTGACAGGGAGCACGTCCAGGCAGCGCGGTGGCAGGGAGCGCGGCGAGGCAGAGCAGTGACAGGGAGCACGTCCAGGCAGCGCGGTGGCAGGGAGCGCGGCGAGGCAGAGCAGTGGCAGGGAGCACGTCCAGGCAGCGCGGTGGCAGGGAGCACGGCGAGGCAGAGCGGTGGCAGGGAGCACGTCCAGGCAGCGCGGTGGCAGGGAGCGCGGCGAGGCAGAGCAGTGACAGGGAGCACGTCCAGGCAGCGCGGTGGCAGGGAGCACGACGAGGCAGAGCAGTGACAGGGAGCACGACGAGGCAGAGCGGTGACAGGGAGCGCGGCGAGACAGAGGCCCTGACAGCATTTTGGGTGGATTCGGAAGAGCTAACTGTTCTTACGCCCCAAATCCGATTCTTTTTATAGTTCTGAGCTCGCCACAGTGCCCACGAAGCTATTTAGACGGGCCTCCGCTTGGCTGAGTTCCCAGTGGATCACATCGATTCCAACTCAGGATAATTGAGATCCGAATATTGATCACAGTCAACCCTTTTCGCAGCCGGCAACTCGACTCAGCCATTGATCTAAGCAAGCAGGCATGATGTAAGAATGAGGAAGACCTTAAGCTCCTGGTTTGTCGGCATTGTGAGTCGAGATATTTTTCTGACAACGATGGACTTTAAGCACACCGCGAAACACGTTAAAGAATATTATCAGTGAAACATCAGTTATATCGACGAAACCCAACGTTTCAAGCTGCGCTGATGGCGCTCATGGTTGTGGGAGAATATGTAACCTCATGGACTGTCACAATTGATTAAAGTAGCCCAATGAAGGCCCGACGCGTTGCATGCGATGCTTTTTAGCAGCAACTGGAATACATTGAATCATTACTGATGCTTCACGTCATGCTGATTGAAAGCGAGCCATTTGCGATTAAATGCACACGATTTGGATCAATAATGAGCCTGAATTACTAAAAAGAAAATGATTCGAATTCTTTTTGCTTCCACAGGGGCGGTATGATTCTTGGTTCGACTCCACACCCCACTAGAATCAAACACATCATACAAATCTATTTACAACAAATCAAAAAGTGTAAAGGGGCCTAGCATGGGCGACATCTGCTGGAGGCAAACATCTGAGCGGGTGATCGCACGCAAACCCCGAAAGTTGAATTTCGCCCACACAGTTTTTAGACTTATCCGGTGTTCATCAGCCTCAACTGGAGCTAACGCTCGAGCTGGGCAGATATTCTCGCGTTCTCAAGGGAACAGCCTGGACCCAGGGACTCCCGAGACAAGCCTCCGGGAAACTTACATCAGTCTATACATGATATGACCCAGGGTCAATCGCCCGGGATCTCGCTGGCGTGACGCATGCGAAGTGTGTGCCGTGTACCACACCGTTTACGACGGGCTGGCCGCACAGGCCCAAACCACGCGCTGGGAGCCACCGATTCCAGGCGCGAGTTGGTTCAGTGGCCGACCAACGACCGCGCGGCGCTCGCCCCCATGACGTCAGAGGTGCGGTTCGGGTAACGACGCGACCGTCGCTGCCTCACGGCCGCGATGCAGCGGAAGTGGTGCCGCCCAGTAGGGACCCCTCAAAGGTCATGGGCGCGGCACGGTGGCGGCGAGAGGTCAGCCGCGAAACTGCCCAGCCCAGCACTGACGCGTCCGAAGCCGCCCGCCGCGACGCGGTCAGTTCTTCTTGGCCTTGAACCGGGCGTAGCTAACGTAATGGAAGGATTTTAATGACGTTATTATGGCGTTATGGATACCTTGGTGACCTTGAAATAGCATGCATGAAACAACCTGCACATATTCATGGGCGTGCAGCTCAGAAACTAGCAGGGTTCAGTGTTAACAAGGGCAGGGCTGTGAACTGCACCAAACGATCTTTAAGATAGCTCTTTCGGTTCAAAATCCCACAGCGATGTTGAACGCTCCCGTTGATACATATTCTGTGACGCGCTGGCTGCCTGTTGGAAACTGAAATGTTTGGCAACGCGGCGTTGGCAAGCCATCACACTGCACAGCGCCTCGCGGAAATGCCTTAGCTGAGAATCCAGTAATCAAAGAGTGGACACAACCGATCCCACCTTGTTCCTGCTGACAGGGGCAGCGGCGTGCCCATCGTGGTGGCGGGCCTGCCGGTGGCCGCCTCCAAAATGGGGCATTGCGCTACACGCGTTCGGTGGGGAGCCGCTGACACGCGCTGCGCTGACGCAGTGCATGACGTAGCGACGGAGAGGCCCAACCACCAACCGTGAGGACGAACGTCTGCCCAACCACCAACCGCGAGGACGAACGTCCGCCCCTCCACCAACCGCGAGAACCGCGAGGACGAACGTCCGCCCAGCCACCAACAGCGAGGACGAACATCCGCCCAACCACCAACCGCGAGGGCGAACATCCGCCCAACCACCAACCACGGGGACGAACGTCCGCCCAACCATCAACTGCGAGGACGAACGCCCGCGCTGGACTGCTGCCACTGCGTAGAAGGCGCGCAAAACCAACGCGAACTAACGTCTGGCGGTAATTGTAATAAATCGAGAAAAAAACGCAAGCAAAGATCGAGATCACCGATAGAGTACGGAGATCGGTCCCTGATTGGTATCTCATTCGGGCTCTTGTTTTCCTGTCTCAGAAGCGTCGCATGCACTTCCCGCGCTCCAGATGGACGCCTTTTCCTGGCCTTTATCTGGACCTGAACAATCTCTCCATCTTTCGAACCTCAACAGGCATGTAAGTCTTGACATTTCTTAGGTAGCAGTGGAATGAAGGGCAATTTCCCGTTCAGCGTCAGCAAGCGCTGATTTTTCGAACTAGTTTTACCTTCTCTAAAAACTTCCTCGGTACCCAGCGCAGCTTGCTTCCCATTTCGAACTCGATCCCATTTCTGTATTTTTCCTTTCGCATTTTCTCATGAGCGCCTTCTTCTGACGGCACAATGCCTAGTCTGCCTTAGTCTGACAGCACAACGCCCAGTCTGCCTTAGTCTGACGGCACAACGCCCAGTCTGCCTTAGTCTGACGACACATCGCCTAGTCTGCCTTAGTCTGACGGCACAACGCCCAGTCTGCATTAGTCTGACGGCACAACGCCTAGTCTGCCTTAGTCTGACGGCACAACGCCCAGTCTGCCTTAGTCTGACGGCACAACGCCTAGTCTGCCTTAGTCTGACGGCATAACGCCTAGTCTGCCTTAGTCTGACGACACAACGCTTAGTCTGTCTTAGTCTGACGACACAACGCCTAGTCTGCCTTAGTCTGACGGCACAACGCCCAGTCTGCCTTAGTCTGACGGCACAACGCCTAGTCTGCCTTAGTCTGACGGCATAACGCCTAGTCTGCCTTAGTCTGACGACACAACGCTCAGTCTGTCTTAGTCTGACGACACAACGCCTAGTCTGCCTTAGTCTGACGACACAATGCCTAGTCGCACCGACGCCGTCGAGTGACATTCGGCGTCAGCGCGACAGTGAAATCCCACAGCTCTGCCGCTCCGGCCGGCAGCCACTGGACGGCTTCCCCAGCTGACCCGTTCCGGCCCAGATGCCGCGCTGCCTCCTCTCACGGCTCCTCCGATCCAACAGGTGGTGACGGGCCGCTCGTACAGCACGGTACCGCCCGGACCTACAGGTGGTGACAGCCTCCCGTACAGTACGGTACCTCCCCGTCGAACAGGTGGTGACAGCCCGCCGACACGGTTCTTCTAAGCCCAACACCGTGGGGAAACTCACAGCTAAGCGTCCATATGCGCTCCAGAATGTGGGACTCATCGAGCTTGATAGCACAAAACACAAAATGGGAAATTACCATCAGGCACACGTAGTTCGTGTCGCTTGTTCGATCCTTGCTCGGGGAAAGAAGTCGGGATTGCTTAGCTGAATGATAACTGGTCGCGAAAAAAACCGCACAAGAAGCCAAGATTAACACAAAAAATGAGCACTGCTTGCCCGCGATTCAAGAACGGTCTCTGCCCGCCGTGAGGGCCAGTGGGAAAGCGCGGTGTTAGTTTACCACGCGTGACCTAACGAGCAATTGAGGCACCGTGGCACTGCCGGGCATACTCCGGAACGGGGCCGACCCGGTGCGTTCACCGCCAGAGTTAACGCCTCGGTGACGATGCGCGCTGCGGATGTGGGTGATAGTAGCGTCGCGCAGCGTTTACGCAGCTTCTCCCTCCCTCCTCCGACGGTCGAGACTCTTGCCTCCCGTGCCGGAATCGCGTCAATTGTCCTCACTGGCTCTTAGTGGTCCAGGTTCCGTCCTGCAGGTTCCTGGCCTAGACTATCCATTGCTCCCCTCTGGCGAGACCCAGCTTTCAGCTTTTCAGCTTTTTTTGGTTCAGGTTTTACCTTCAGCCCCCCTGGTTCAGGTTTGTCACTGGCCCGTTCCTGACTCTGAGGTGATCCTGGTTCATACACGGCCCTGGCCCCTTTCGGTTGAGACTCAACCTTCGCCCTCCAGATGCAGACTCATCCCTGGCGCCTCTCCGCTTCAGATTGCCCCCGGTCCCCCTGTCGAGACCCATCCCGGGCTTATCCCAGCTCGGACCCACCCCCGGCCCTAGCTGTCCAGGCTTATCCCTGGCTCCTCTCCGCTTCAGACTCACCTCTGGGCCCTCCCCGTCCGGACCCATTCCTGGCCCCTCCCCGCTTCAGACTCACTCCCACCCCCCGGCCCCTGCCGTCCGGAGTGGACCCATCCCTGGCCACTCCCTGCTTCAGACCCCCGGCCCCTGCCGTCCGGAGTGGACCCATTCCTGGCCACTCCCCGCTTCAGACCCCCGGCCCCTGCCGTCCGGAGTGGACCCATCCCTGGCCACTCCCCGCTTCAGACTCCCCGGCCCTGCCGTCCGGAGTGGACCCATTCCTGGCCCCTCCTCCCTCCAGACACCCCGGCCCTTGCCGTCCGGAGCGGACCCATTCCTGGCCATTCCCCGCTTCAGACCCCCGGCCCCTGCCGTCCGGAGTGGACCCATTCCTGGCCACTCCCCGCCTGAAGTCGGGCGCCAGGTGGGAGCGCGGCCAGCCGAGCCGGCCGCAGCTAACGACCGGCGAGCACGCGGCGGCGCAACCGACGACAGGTGGCAGCACCGCTACTCTGCCAGCGGGAGCGCTGGGCCGACAGCCTGCGCCCTCATGCACGAATTCCGACGCCTGCACGGGCCGGTGGTCAGCAGCGGCGTGCGGTCCCCTCTTCCCCCCCCCCCCCCCCCCCACAGCCAGCGGCTTAGCCTCGGCGGACGAGCCATGATATGTTTAGCTTTGCGAGTAATGAACGTCGGGTGATTAAAAAGGATGAGTGATTATCAAATGAATGTCCCCGGTAGGACACTGCTGTCAGCAGCGACAGTGTGGCATCTATTGTTCCAGTTAAGCTCCAGTGCTACCTAGCGGATTATAGTGGGAACTGAAGCACATAATACACTGGTCCAACTGACGCTTTAGACAAGCTACACATCAGCATTGTCCCCAGAGTACAGGGCACTTAACGCTCTTTCCACACGACCATTGTCTGTCGCGGTAATACGGGTGCATGCCAGAAGCCATTTGTCCTGCATTTATTTTCCGTCATTCCTCCCCGACAGGCCCTTGCAACGCGTGTCTGTGAGTGCGTTCTCACTTAGCTCTACCCAACCAACCGGCATATTTTGCTATCTGAGAGAACAAAGAAGCTGTGCCACTTATCCTATTTGGATCGTTCTCACCCTCATTCCGCCCGTAACGAGTCACATGGCGGCCAAACACCGTTCCATGTGACCGGAGTTCGTAGCCACACTACTGGCGTTTATTCCATGTCACATCTCACACAGACATTTAAAGTCAAGCGTTTGCAAATACTTACCCAGCATCAGCACCTCTCACTGTTCATGTTTAACTTCGGCACGGTGTCACCCTTCCGTGGCGTCGCTCAAGACGCCTGTTACCACGGATGACCTCCATTCTCCCTCCCCTTGCCCTCCCCTCCCGCACCTCTACCCCCGCACTGACCTGGGGAAATTGAGGAAGCACACGTGCTTGACGTACACCGCCGGCGGCCGGAAGATGTTGATCAGCGAGCAGAGCCGCTTCTGCGGAGCGAGTGCCAAAGTCACGGCCGGCCGGCACGGTCTGGCGCGACCAAGTCAGGCGTTGACCCGTGCGGGGACCGCCGACATTGAGCGCCGGCTGAGGTGCTGCTCGGCCGGCCGCCAATGAGGCGTGACCGGCCGGCTGGGACGCGCCGGCCGACGCCGGCTCCACTGACGAGCGTGACTGGTGGTGTGCAGCCAGCCGTCCGGCCGCGGCCCGGTCGCTCCGCTTTGTCAAGAGCATCCTCAAAAGCGTGGATGCGACCATGCGCTCGGCCTCGGCGGATTGGTTCAAAGCATCCGAACACCGGCATGCGGCCAGGCATGCGCTGGCGCATAAATGCGTTGTCAAGGCATCCCGGAATGATCGGACGCGGCAGAGCCTTTGGCAAACATAGCGCACGAGCACGCACTAGGGTGCAAAGCATGCCGTGAAAATCTACCCGTGGCGGGCCAGGGCTGACTTTCGCCCGGCTGTGTTTGGGAACGTGATGTGCTTGAGAGCGCGTGAGAATGGGCCGGGCCGCCGTCCGGGGAGGAGGTATCCGGCCCGAGCCGAACCATCGGGGTCAGGCGCGGGAGACTGCACAAACATGGCGCGCCGTCTGGCCGAGGATCTCTGGAGCGTGCACGAGATACGCAGCCGGCCTGCAGTGTGGCCCTCTGCGCGTGACTGCTCTGACCGGGTTGAAGCCCCAGCCGGTGTTGGCATACAGCCCTGTCCGAGTTTTCTAGGAGCATCGACCGCAGAAAGAATATCGTGCCGCAGTTAATGCGGATTTTGATTTTGATCGCCTTTTCTCTGGCGACGGACTGCCGCGATTTATACGATATCGACATTTGAATGCTTAAATAATAACCTGTATGACTTTTACAACGGGCTGGCCGTTAGATGGAGATCATCCAGCACGAGACCGGGCAACACGACGATGAAACCGTGCGCATTCCGCTGCCATGGGTTACCGTTGTCCGCGAAATCGATGCGGAATGCTCAAAAGGGTGATGTGATGGGGCTACTGGACAGGAAAAGCTCCAGTCGCAAGACGCTACAGTTGTGCTGGTTCTGCGGTAGCCAGAGTGTGCACGATCAAAACGACCTAGTCAAAGAACTCGTACCTCCTGCGGCGGCTTGAGATTGATCAGCTCCACCTTCTGCGGGTGGTCCTTGTGGAAGTTGAACTTGTTGCGGTAGGAGAGCCGCTTCATCAGCTGCATGGTGCTCTGCGAGCCCACCTTCGGCACGCGATTGAAGAACAGCGTCTCCTTGACGGCATACTTGGTCACGTTCAGCTCCCCGAACTTGTACTGTCGGTGGGGTGAGAGGAACAGTGGGTCAGACCCGGCTGGCAAGGATCCACAGCATGGCTGGGCCAACAACTACACCTCCAGCAGTATGTTCTGGCCAACAACTGTACCTCCGGTGGCATGTCCTGGTCAATGACTGCATCTTCCGCAGGCATACAGATAACACATATCCCTATATACACATCTCACATCTCCGGCGTCAACACCATCTATATCCATACCCGGGCCATATCCATCCATATCCGGGCCAACAACTGCACCTCGCAGTCTTCGTTCACAACGCGGAGGCATGCCGGCGCCAGAGACGGAATGCGAGCACGCACGGGCAAGCGTCATCAGGTGGTGAACAGACCGGTTTCAGCGGGTGGCAAGAACGTCAGCACGATCACGCTCTCGAAATGCTACATGGATCAAAATGCGTGCTTTAGATGGTTTTGGTATGGGAACGAGCTTTTAATGACCATAAAAACAGCACAGTCAGCCCACGCGCTCATGTGCGAGGCAATGTCAACACGCGCAATGACTTACGGGGCCCGCGACTGGGAGCGCCAGCTCTGAGCTCCGGTCGCAACTGAAAGCGTCCATTCCGAATTCCGGTCGCAAATGAGAGCGCCATTTCTGAACTCCGGTGGCAACTGAGAGCGCCGGTTCTGAGCTCCAGTCGCAACTGAGGGCGCCAGCTATGAACTCCGGTCGCAACTGAGAGCGCCGGTTCTGAGCTCCGGTTGCAACTGAGAGCGCCAGTTCTGAACCCTGGTTGCAACTGAGAGCGCCAGTTCTGAACTCCGGTCGCAACTGAGAGCGCCAGTTCTTAACTTCGGTCGGACAAACCAACCCTAAAAGCTAAACTGGCGATCCCAACACAGCGGGCTGCCGGCGAGTCTGCAGACTCACCCCCCCCCCCCCCAGCGTCGTGGTCCGGTGGGGGCGAGGGTAAGGGATCATCACTAGACCCTCGGTCGGCCCACCCAGAGGTAGCCGGCATTGGTATGCAGGAGAGGGGACCGGTAGTAGGCTGATGCTACGATATTGCATACGCCGTTAACAGTCTGAAACTGCGATATTGCATACACCGCTAACAGTCTGAAACTGCGATATTGCATACGCCGCTAACAGTCTGAAACTGCGATATTGCCACCACAAAGGAAAAGGAAGTGCCACGAGCCGGGAGCCAAAACACAATGCGACGGTGCGACGGGAATGTATGATGAACCGAATCCCCAAGGACTGGGGTCGACCACCACGCGGTGGTTCGATTCCCAGGTAATTCGTGGCGCCAACAAAAAATCCCTAGTCAGCTTCAAAACCGGTCCGAGCCAAGTGACCGCGACCAGTGACCTCAAGTGGTGTTCACAACGCGTGCAGAAGACGTGCTGGGAGGGCACCGAACACGGACGAGCCTGGGACTGACTCACGCTCGGAGGGAGGACCAGCGTGCTCCTTTTCATGCCGTCGCATGGCAACTAGCTATCTGAACTGCCGCATGAAGTTGGGGCGGGGACACTCGCCCTTTCCATGTGCACAAAATGAACCGATCGATCGGGTGTTCTTTGTTCCGGTTCCGGCCTGGTGAAAAAGCGTCTGCACATTCGGTGTGTTGGTGTGACGTGTGACGTGGTGACGAGATATTGCACATCACATTTCAACCGACGCAACGGCACGCTTCATGTAAAACCGGGGTCAAGTGGCGAGGAACTTCTCCAGTGACTTCCGACCTGACCTGCGAACAGCAAGCACGCCACACCATTCTCCTAGGAACCTCCTCACTAACCAGACTACGATGGCCAGAGGAACCTCCTCACTAACCAGACCATAATGGCCAGAGCATAGGGAACTTCGCTGGCTTTTTTGAAATCGCTTTGCCCCTTCCCCAGTAAACTAATTCATGCGGTTGAGACGGTTGGCTGACCACTGATGCGACTGACGTTGCACCACACAAATGACAGCCCTCCCCTGCGCGTCCCCGTCGCGTTTACGATAACTGCACACACACTGAGTAAACGGACGCTAATCGAACTGCGTAAACAACTCAGCCGGCGCCAAAAGAGAAAGGATCTCTTTCTAAGCTGGAGTCAGGGGCGTACGCAGGAATTCCGAGGGAGGAGGGGTCACAGCCAAACAATGTTCTAAACAAATAATCTCGGTTAGCGTGCCGCAGGCGCGTCAGTCCTTACACGGCGTAAAACAACATCACTTGTCCTCAATTTGTTTTTTCTACTTGTCCATTTCCAATTTTTAGTGTTAACATGCATTCGCACACGAATTAATGCATGTTATAACTTTGATGGGAGAGGCAACACGTAATCCTGGGCCACTCCGTGTGTGTGCCCCTGGCTGGAGATCAGGGTTTACGACAATGCCTCAAGCAAGCACGGCCATCCCCCCATGACATCTTCCCAACAGCACCGGCGCTGAAATCAGGCCGCATCGACCTGCACGTTGGTGGCGCGGCGGCGCGGATGCGTCACCCCTCCCCCCCCCCCTTCACCGGGCCGGAGCGGCGTGACGGGGGCGTCCATCATGTTCCAGCGCGCGTGCGCCGGAACGTGGCGGGACAAGCCCCGTCCATGTTGCCTTGTCCGGAGGCAATGTTTTCTCAGTTGCAAGCAAGGCTATGTTTTGGCGTATTCTATAATCTCAAGATAGGCAGACAGCAATATGTAGCACACAGGTTGAAAATTGTGTCAAAACCTTGCGGAATGCAAGAGAGCTTTGTAAAAAGGACTGAAATCTCACGCCCGGCTCTGTTTTTCTTTGATCAAAACCTGCAGGCTGTTGTGATGAGTGATCAGCAGGGGTATTCCACCATTCACCAATCGGAAGTCACCGGCCACAGAAGAAGCAGGAAGCCGACGTCAATTAACGTGCCATTTGAGATAGACGTGGTAACGTTGTGGTCAAGTTCGCCTCAAGTTAAACTCCATTAACATGCCCACTTCTTAACTGTGTTGCTGCCCAAATAGTTCAATGGTTGAAGCCAGCACGCATGGTCTGGCCTCCGGCTCTGCCCAGCACCGTTGTCCGGCGCCTTGTTCGAGGCGGTCGGCCGCTGCAGCCGCTGTGTGCTGCAGGCCTCAGACCTGACCAAACCCTCTGACCTCAAACCTGACCGGCCGCATCCCATTACCACGCCAGAACGATCCTTGCAATGCGGTCGCCAGGCGGCGCCGCCCATGACAGCGCCGGTCGGATTCATTGCCATGCGGGCTCCTAGGGCGGGCTAACAAGGCACGGACCTCGCCCCGGCATCCGCGGACAGCTGCCGACTCCGAAGTATCGTCGAGACCGGACGGCGGGCGCCCGCGGAGCGAGACGGCCCTCCTCGCCCCGGCATCCGCGGACAGCTGCCGACTCCGAAGTATCACCGAGTTTGGACATCGGGCGCCCACGGAGCGAGACGGCCCTCCTCGCTCCGGCATCCGTGGGCAGCTGCCGATTCCGAAGCATCGTGGCGACCGGACGGCGGGCGCCCGCGGAGCGAGACGCCGCGCCACGCCGCGCCGCGTCCTGTCGCCGCAAGCGCGGCTGCGTCACCCCGGCACGGGCGCCGCGTCCGGATGTAGGTCACCTGGGCGCGCATGCCGGCCGGCCCGTGCGCGGGCCGCCCCGGGCTCGTGTCTGCCGATCGGCCGCCCGGCGCCGTTACAGGCCCGGGGCGCGCCGGCGAGACGGCAGGTCGCCGAAGGGGTGACCGAGTCACGCTGCGGGACTCTCGCCGCCCGGCCGCCGCGCCGTGACGCCCCGTAACGGCGGGTGACGCGGGCAGACGTGGGTCGCGTCACCCTACGCGGCGTCCGTTAGTAGACGGTGCGCCGCGTTTGTCACCAATCCCGCAGTGCCGAGCCATGTTTGTCATCGTTTAGGTAACGGCGCTGGTCGGCCGCGGTCCGCCGTCGCCACGGTGACAACAAAAATAGACGGATCTCAGCCATTGACGTTATGACTGAACACAACTTGACGTAGCGCTCTCCCCTAAGCTCCACCCTAGCTGCAGTACACGCCAGCATAGGTGGAACTTTGCGTTTTCCCTTGGGGGCCGAACCCATGAACCTTACCTATGTTATTTCTCAAACGCATTTCTTCACGGATGTCGTCCATTTTATTCTGTGGTTATAATTTGGACTTGATATAACTAAGAACAAATGCTGTTAGCCTCTGGTTTTTCGGTATTATTGGTTCAACTGAGATTTTTTAGTTAAAAAGCTTCAACACATATGGAGGTACTGAACAAACGACGTTGTGGTGCTTAACAACGATTATATTGGCGATGCTCAGTATTTTGAGCTGTATTCATCCTCAAGAGCTTATCTCTTGAGCATAAGCACAGGGCAGCAGGCGGGCGTTAGTTTCATTGAAATGTTTCTTCATAGGCATCTTACAGCTTTCGAAAACATGATGAAACGATTTTTCATCTTGCTTTAGCTCAATGACGTATTACTTGCTGGAGAAAAATCGGCCACTACAGGGCCACAGCGCCTCCCTGTCATAGTGGACAGCGCACGTGCCTACCAAGTGGTGCCGCTTTGAGGCAGTTCCAGAAGGCTGTGGGAAGGCAGCGATTTGAGTGGCTGTTGGGCTCCTCCCGGAAGTACCAACCATTAGTGCTGAGAAAGTTACTTCATTGAATGGCGCGGTGGCAATGCTCCAAGACTGCCGAAATTTTATTTTTCATTCTTCTGCTTGTGATCGTACAATGCTATATGGACAGAATGGATCCAGGGGGGGGGGGCGTGCTACCTACCTCCTTGGACCACTCATGAGGTTTTGGTGTCAGGGGGGGGGGGGGGCACCGAAAACTCATGTTTCCGCAGGACTGGATTCCCCGCTGCCTTTCCACCAGCAGGGGCCCTTTGTTAGCCACGGTGCCCCTCTCCCACCATGACCGGCTGCGCCCCTGGCCACAGGTCAGGTCAGCACAGACAACGGGTAGGATTCGTAGCCCCTTTGGCGCACTTTTTATATTATAAAAGGCCCTTGAAGGGAATTATGAACTATTATGCATGTTACACTGGATGATACCTGAAGCAAGATCCATCATCACTAAGCAGATATCTGTAACGCAACAACACTAGCAGCTGAATATGTTAGCAATCATACAAATTTATGTAAATTGTAAGGACCAGTCTGAAATGTAAGTAGAGTAAAGTTCCCGAGGGTAGGCACATGTGCAGCCGGATATCCACATACAAAAGCTTGACGCGCAAACATTGGCATTACGAAACGTTGCTATTCATCAATATGATGATTACGTGTTACACTTCAATAGCCAACGGGCAAGCAAGTAACTCACGCATACCCCTGGCTGGTGGCAGGCCATTTAAGTCACTTTGAGATATCGCCAAACATTGTTCATGGACATAGACCTTCGGGGAGGACAGGGGGATAGCTCTAAAATTCGTGTTCAGAACAAGACTGAGCGTGTCATTGACACACGTGGTCTGAGTACTGCCGTGACCAAACAACCACGGATGCAAAAGTTCCAGATACACGGGATGACGGTCTCTTTTTGCCGGGGGCGTGATGGCCACGTGGAGAGATCCTTTGACTCCCACGTGGGGGGGGGGGGGGGGGGGGGCGTGTTCGAAATCCGACCGCGATATGACCCCTCAGGCCAATGTGGCTCCTGTAATTGCTGGCGCCCGATGAAAGGGTTCACGGCGACGGGCGTCTCGTTTCCGTCTTTCTGACAGTGCCATCTCAAGCAGCAGGAGCCACGCTTTCCGAAGAATTTTTGTTTCCGAATGGAAGGTAGTTTAACCTGCCGGCTGCGCAACATACCTATCATCCCTTGGTTTTAAATCTGTGTAACTCATGCTGGTTGTGCATTGCTACATTTACATCCCTCAATTAGAATGTGGGCCATTTCCGTGATCCTTCAATAGGCTTAAATGTGCGGCGCAAAATGCCGCAGAGCAGAGCGACACAGAGCGGCTTACATATGCCGGGGAGCTGGGTGTCGATATCTTTTACTACACGGAAACACATCGTGTCAAAAATGCATGAGCTTCAATAGTTTCACCGCTTTTTGCCACCACCAACATTCCGCACTGCGCAGCAAAGACGCGCCGAAATTTTACGTTCATCCACACCTGTCTGAAATACGGTGTTTGCGCTTCACTTCACCAGAGCAGTGCAAGAACCCTTTGAACCAATTGTCAGTAATTCAGTTTTGCCACATCTTAGGGACACATGCGAATAAGGCCTTGGACCTAAATGTTTTTCCATGTTGCTAACCTTCAAATGATCTATATTTCAAAGAGGTGATCGGTATTGGGCGTTAGCTTCCACATCGTGGAAGCTCTTCTCAATATTGTGGGGGCCCAGCCCAATATTGCCGGCGCCCAGCCCAGAATTGGGGTGGGGGACAACTCAATATTGGGGAGGAATGACCCCCATCAAAGAAAAACAAAATTTCACCCCTCCGAATAGTGCACAGTGCCTTCAGCAAACAGGGTCGGTCTCCGCCTATTTGTCGATCCCGTTGTCGCCTGACACGGAGCAAAGCTGCCACCGCATTTGCCACTGTTTGGGCTACGCTTAATACGCGCTCGGGTGGGGGGGGGGGGGGAGGGAGGCAAATTGACCACCCGAAGGTTTTTCAGAATGACTTCCGAACGGCACGGCGCAGCCGCCCAAAATTTTGCATAGTAGCTATCGCGGATCGTTTAGTGTTAAAAATTGAGATGCACCTTGTAAGGTCGCTGACCTATGACAGGTCAAGGCCAGGCCATGGTTTCAGCGAAGTCAATTTCCAGGGAATCGTTCAATCTGATGCAACGACAGAGTGTTAGACGAAGCCATACATCTCTGAGATGCTTTCTTAGGCAACACAAATATTGAATGGGCACATTTCGTTGACCTTAGGTGAGGTATGAAGGTCAGACCAAGGTCAATAACAACCTCTTTTATTACTCGAGGGCTTGCTGTATGGGATAGTTTCTGGTGCTCATTTCGAATTTAATGATAGCAGGAATCGCATTATACATCTCCCATAAACTTCTTAGAGGTCAGAGTAGGTCATCGACCTGAAATGACCCAGGTCAATATTTAAAAAAAAGAAACATACTGCCTGACGTAATCTTTGTCGCCTATTCAACTGTAAGACTCAGAGCAGTCTTGTACGATTTTGGTCACCACAATCTTCAAAAGGTCCAACAAGGTCACTGACCTTGAATGAGCATGTGGTCCTTTGCTAAGAAAGTTACCTACGTTCTGGGGACACTTAAGAGACCAACCTGGAATCTCACCTTGTTTGACCTTTTTGACCCGAAGGTCAAGACCTAGGAATCTCAAACTTCCATCTAAATGAGTTAACGTACAGGTCAACATACCCTGTAAATTTGGTGGCTCTAGCTCACTTAGTCCTCGAGATCTCAGGGGAGAGGTTAAATTGACCCCCCACCACCCGAGCGAAGGGTATCTAGCCGGGCACCCGGCCACGTGTTAAATCAAAACTCCCTCGGTCATAACAATGACGCCATCCGTGTCAGAGCGGGGTCCGAGAAGACGTTCCCGCTGGCAGACCCATCCTCGTCAGCCTGCCGCCGATCATCCTCGGTGGCAGACCCATCCCCGTCAGCCTGCCGCCGAGCATCCTCGGTGGCAGACCCATCCTCGTCAGCCTGCCGCCGAGCATCCTCGGCGGCAGACCCATCCCCGTCAGCCTGCCGCCGAGCATCCTCGGTGGCAGACCCATCCTCGTCAGTCTGCCGCCGAGCATCCTCGGTGGCGGACCCATCCTCGTCAGCCTGCCGCCGAGCATCCTCGATGGCAGACCCATCCCCGTCAGCCTGCCGCCGAGCATTCTCGGTGGCAGACCCATCCTCGTCAGCCTGCCGCCGATCATCCTCGGTGGCGGACCCATCCTCGTCAGTCTGCCGCCGAGCATTCTCGGTGGCAGACCCATCCTCGTCAGTCTGCCGCCGAGCATCCTCGGTGGCAGACCCATCCTCGCCTGCCTGCCGCCGAGCATCCTCAGTGGCAGACCCATGCTCGTCAGCCTGCCGCCGAGCATCCTCGCTGGCAGAGCTATTTTCGCCTGCCTGCCGCCCAGCACCCTCGGTGGCAGACCCACTCCCACCTGCCTGCCGCCCAGAACCCTCGCTGGCAGGCCCATCCTCGCCTGTCCTGCCGCCGAGCGTTCTTGCGAGACATTCGTGCGGGGCGCTCTCGTCCGTCGCCCGTGCGTAGTCACGACGGGTCACACCTGGTGTGGGCTGGGGTGCCGGGGCGCGCCGTGCCCGCTGCCTCAGCGGCGGAAGGAGCGCGTCGGGGCGCCCGTGCGGGGCTGCTGACGCCGGACACGGTCGGCCCGGCCGCCGCTGATGCCGCGCCGTGCGACAGGGGCCCCACCGCGCTCGCTTGTCGCCCGGTAGCCGGGCGGAGCAGGACGGCAACGTCTGCAGTGTGCCGCTGTAGCGGGATTCTAAGCTCCCCTCTCAACAATGGCGCGTGCGCCGCAGGGTGTTCCAGAGGACAGTGGACGCCTCACATGGTTTGCAAAACCGGACATCGTACACCCGTACGCGCGTAAAAAAAAAACGGATAAAATCTCAGCGCCACCACGCTTCGCATCAGGAGACCGGCACCATTCTCCCTTATCGCATGTCTGCCGGCCGTCGTGCCCTGACGCGCGCCGCTCCCCGGCGAACTCACCTGACTAGTGGGCGGAGGATGCGCCGGTCGGCGCCGGCCGTCTCCAGAGCCGGTGTGGCCATGGACCGCCAGCGGACTCCTGTTCTCGCGCGACGGTCCTGCGACAGGGCAGCGGCGTTAGTCAACTCCAGACGGAAGACCAACAGTCGACCACGCTTGGAGATGATCTGGACGGCATGGGATCGGCATGTGGCGCGGCATGGGACCGGCATGTGGCAGCGCATGGGATCGGCATGTGGCACGGCACGGCAAGGCTTGGGATCAGGACATTATGAGGCAGAGTTCATTTGGATAATACCTATACACATGAATAAAGAAATACGATCGGGAATACACGAAAGACTCGTGTAATCCTCATGTGGCTCAACGACGCATAATCCGTAGATTAGTGAAAACAATTTCAGTAATAGCGGTCGCATATCAGCACAGAAACACCCACATGATCACGAAAAGCAAATCGTGATGGACTACGATTCAGCAGCACATAATGCGATAGCGATATCAACCAATTTATTCCTACTACAATAGGAAACATCAACTTTTGGGGTTAGGTACGAGTGGTGCAGTGGTTAAGGTGCGCGTCTGGGAAAATAGAAGCACGGGGTTTATTCCACGTGGTGCCTGCCTTTTTCTCACCAGGGTGAGAGATAGATGAAGCCATACTGCCTCAGCACTGAGTGCGTCATAAAGCCCAATGACAACAGCAACAACAACTTTCGGGATTCATGGATGCTGTGACCAAGCCCTGATGGGTTCATGGCTGCACCAAACGGGCCCGAAGTAAGTGCCGAGATTCAGCCGTGGAGGGTGAATGCTGATATTCAGTGGTAGAAAGCAAAGTGCCGAGATTCAGCAGTAGCAAGTGAGTCCCGAGATTCAGCGACAGGAAGCGAGTCCCGATATTCCGCGGTAGGAAATGAGCCCCGAGGGCTTCAGCGGTAGGATGTTCGTCCCGAGACTCAGCGGCAGGAAGTGAGTCCCGAGATTCAGCGGTAGAAAGATAACAGTTATACACATGAATAAATAAATACGATCCGGAACATACGAAAGACTCGTGTAATCCTCATGTGGCTCAACGGCCGAGATTCCGCGATGGGGAGTGAGTCCCGAGAGATCCAGCGGTAGGAAGTGAGTTCCAAGTGATTCAGCCGTAGGAAGGGGTTCCCGAGATTCTGCGGTAGGAAGTGAGTCCCGAGAGATTCAGCGGTAGGAAGAGGTTCCCGAGATTCTGCGGTAGGAAGTGAGTACCGAGAGATTCAGCGGTAGGAAGTGAGTCCCGAGAGATTCAGGGGTAGGAAGATGTTCCCGAGATTCACCGGTAGGAAGTGAGTCCCGAGAGATTCAACGGTAGGAAGTGAGTCCCGAGAGATTCAGGGGTAGGAAGAGGTTCCCGAGATTCAGCGGTAGGAATTGAGTCCCGAGAGATTCAGCGGCAGGAAGAGGTTCCCGAGATTCTGCGGTAGGAAGTGAGTCCCGAGAGATTCAGGGTAGGAAGAGGTTCCCGAGATTCACCGGTAGGAAGTGAGTCCCGAGAGATTCAGCGGTAGGAAGTGAGTCCCGAGAGATCCAGCGGTAGGATGTGAGTCCCGAGAGATTCAACGGTAGGAAGTGAGTCCCGAGAGATTCAGGGGTAGGAAGAGGTTCCCGAGATTCAGCGGTAGGAATTGAGTCCCGAGAGATTCAGCGGCAGGAAGAGGTTCCCGAGATTCTGCGGTAGGAAGTGAGTCCCGAGAGATTCAGGGGTAGGAAGAGGTTCCCGAGATTCACCGGTAGGCAGTGAGTCCCGAGAGATTCAGCGGTAGGAAGTGAGTCCCGAGAGATCCAGCGGTAGGATGTGAGTCCCGAGAGATTCAGCGGTAGGAAGTGAGTCCCGAGAGATTCAGCGGTAGGAAGTGAGTCCCGAGAGATTCAGCGGTAGGAAGTGAGTCCCGAGAGATTCTGCGGTGGGAAGCGAGTCCCGAGAGCTTCAGCGGTAGGATGTGGGTCCCGAGACTCAGCGGTAGGAAGTGAGTCCCGAGAGATTCAGCGGTAGGATGTGGGTCCCGAGAGATTCAGTAGTAAGTTTAGGCCGCCATGGTCTCCTGTCTGCTTAAGCGGCGCGTTGCCACACAGCGCGCTAATCATCGCTGGTATCAGATCCCCATCAGACGAGACACGCCTCGTTCTAGTTCTGCATAGCAAAAGGAATTTCGATGAACCAATGCCACTATACCTCCCGTTTGGACGCTACTTTCTGTCCCTTCTTTCTTGTCTCCATTGCCCAACCTAACTTTATCCCATTGTCCCATTGTTTTCCATCAGTAAACATTGTTTTTATCCAGCCCCTTTCCCTCTGCTCTGCTGCCTCTGCCTCTGTCCCTTTTTTGTCTCGTCTCACCCTTTGCCCTGTACCCCCCCCCCCCTTTTGCATGTCCCTCTATCCATTCTTCCCTCGTTCCTTCCCGCTCCTCTCTCTCTCCTCTCTCTCTCTCTCTCTCTCTCTCTCTCTCTCTCTCTCTCTCTCTCTCTCTCTCTCTCTCTCTCTCTCTCTCTCTCTCTCTCTCTCTCTCTCTCTCTCTCTCTCTCTCTCTCTCTCTCTCTCTCTCTCTCTCTCTCTCTCTCTCTCTCTCTCTCTCTCTCTCTCTCTCTCTCTCTCTCTCTCTCTCTCTCTCTCTCTCTCTCTCTCTCTCTCTCTTCCCCTCTCTATCTCTCTCTGTCTGGTCTCTCTCCATCACTGTCACTCCCGCTCTCTGTCCCTCCTCCTCTGCCGTTCCTCCTCCGTTCATCTACCCTGCCCCTTCTTCCCAGTCCTTCTCCCTCCCACTCCACGCACAGCTCATCCTTCACCTCCTCCACGCCATCGCGTGCTCTGCGCACCGGTCCGCTCGTGAAGGCAGCAGGGCCACCAGAACTCCATCTCCAACCGGGAGAGGGGCGGCAGCCGCGCGGCCGGCGAACGGCGCGCCCCGGCCGTCCGGCGCGGCTGACGCCGGCTGCGCTACATCGAGTGCCTTCGCCGCCGCTGTCTGCCCCAGTAAAGGCTGGTCACCCCCGCATCGCCGCCGCTGTCTGCCCCAGTAAAGGCTGGTCACCCCCGCATCGCCGCCGCTGTGTGCCCCAGTAAAGGCTGGTCACTCCCGCATCGCCGCCGCTGTCTGCCCCAGTAAAGGCTGGTCATCCCCGCATCGCCGTCGGGAGATGGCGAAGGCGGCGCCGGCAAAGATGGGCCGCGGGTGGCCTGGAGATGCAGGATGCGGCGCGGCTTGACAGCGTCAGGTAGATACATGGAGACAGGCTCGTTCTGTTCTCGTATTTCTGATGTTGTTCGTTGTCAAATGACATGAGATATCACAGTAGCCGAGCAGTTCGTAAACCTAATCATCAGCAGCACCAAACGGGGAATAAAAAGCTGCGCACAGGAGTTGACCGGCTCCGCCATGGAAGCCATCCCACCGTCCACCCGGGTCATCGCACCGAAGTCGTTCTTCGTGACCTTGCAGGAAGGATATCCAAAGCGGTGACGTCACGGGTGACGCCAGAGACGGCCTGCTCTGGCGACGTTCGCGTGAAACGCGCGAGCCACGACACTCGTCATGGCGACGAACAGCCAGGCGCCAGCAGACAACATTGCAACACGGAAGGCGGGGTCAAACGTGACTTTTGCTCTGCACCCGAGCCAGGTCACACCGCGTGCCGCAACAGGCTATGTTAACGGGACATTCGTCCGGCTGCGCAACGGTGATGACGGGGAGACACAGGAGAGTGGTTTTGGCAGGTATCTAATGCTATTGCATATCGCTAACTTTCACATCAACGCGATAAAAGACGGGGTTGCCCTGTTCGTCTCGTCTTTGTTGGCGAGCTTACTTAAAAGAGGTGCAGTCATGTATTGTGACATAATCGAAAATGCGCTGCAAGTTAACGGCGGAAGCTTACACGTGTCTTGCATGATAAGCGCGTGCAATAAGCAGGCACACATTCGCTATATTCACTGAAGTGATCGTCTACTTTCTCTCACATAGTAGCAAACAATCATGGACATCTCTGAATCTTGCGCTTAATAGACACAATAGAAGAACACCTGTGCTAAAAGAGAACATTGCTCCGTTATCACGACTACAAAACTCCCAGCAAATAGATTTTCTAGTCGTGATATAGCAGAGCAAACTACATACGGCCCACGCGCTTCAGCATAACCACTTATCTTGTCATACCAGCTGAATTCTGGTAAAGCTAAGGGCCTGCAACGGGCTGACACCATCGCGTGCTAACTGCTCACACACGCCGTTGGTAATGGGTGAGAAAGACGGGGCCTAACGGCAACAGCGCGCATATCGTGTAATAGCCTTCGCAGGATCATGAACCACTAATTGCAGCATGGTAAAAACCAGTGTGTTATTTGCGTAATGAGAACACGAAGTGGTTGCTGAAAACGGCCACTGGTCTAAAATCGACCTTGAAATAACATATTTTTGCGTGACTCTTAACGATAAGGACTTTGGAGCAGGACTTGATATGCATTCATATGAAAATGGATATGTGTGAATAACGGGTCAAAGGTGAGGCCAAGAGACCACAGACATCATATACCAGGCTCAATTTAGTACAAATAACCTGACAATGCCGGAACTGGCGCCACCAAAATGTGACAGGCCGACAATTTGAACAATTGTCTCAACCCTTCAAAAAAGGATAGCCTTAACTCGCACGTGGATCAGACCTGTCCAGCCTGCAGCTCTGATTTTCATATTGAACAAATGGGTATATTTGTATGAAACACATCTGAAAGACTCCAGGTATGGGGCCAGCACGGGATGAGTGTAGGCGGCTCTGACAGATTTGGCCCAGTTTGGTTCGGCCGAATTCCAGTGTTCTGGACCCCGCGCCGAGGCCAATCACATGTGAATCAGACCCGGACTACTATGCGCGGTGTGAAAGGACCCGGACTCTGAGTCAGTAGCCCGAGACTCCTGAGTCGGAGGGGCGAGAATTTTGGGTAAGTCTGCTCGGTGCCCCTGGACCAAGTACGCAGCGATGGACATTGACAACAGCTGAGGGTTAATGCGGCCCGATGCGCCCTCGCCCTGGACCAAGTACGCAGCGATGGACACTGACAACA